CAATTATCATCGGGGACTTCAACATGTTGGCCTCAGACTTTGATTTGTTTCCGCATTTGCAGTCCCTTGGGTGGCACGACCTCCTTGAGTGGCACCTCAGGGTTAAAGGTTCAGAAATGCCGCCATCATCTAAGAATGCCACCAACCCAGATAATGCAATTCTCTGCCCAAGGGCGGTAGCGTTGCTGCTTGATGTCCAAGTCCTGGGTGATGACTGGTTTGACACTCATCGGCCTGTCCTTTTTCGCCTGTCCTGTCCACAACAAGCAGAGTTGCCTGCGAGCCTCAAACAACCACGGTCCTGGGGTGAACTCCCAGTTGATGCAAACCTCATTCAGCAGGCATATCAACGATGGACCCCACATCTTTGCACACCGTCAACCATCGAGCAATGGGGGCATAAGGTGGAACGGGTGGTTGACCTTGCCTTGAAAGACTACCACACCACTCATCCTGAAGCGTTGAACTGGGGGACTTATCCTGGTCTTCCAAAGCCGTATCGGGGTAGATGTCAACCACCGAAGGTTCGCAATAAACCAATGAGCTTTGTGAAAGAAGGCCGCCATGGCCTGTATGCACCCAACTGCGAAGTTCATTCCCTGAGTACTGCCCGGAAGATTCGTCAACTCCGCCGCATCCAAGCACTGCGCCAGAAACTCGCCAAACAACAGTTCCCTGCTAGGGCTAACCTAGAACAATTTTGGTCTGAATGGCAGGCCATTTGCAGAAGTCGTGATTTCGGCACAGCATTTCTCAAGTGGCTTGCCCACTGGCCAGAAGCACCGCAGGTGGCCCTCCACCTGTTGCCGTCACCAAGTGACCTTTGGGACGTTGAACAATTGGTCCGATTCCAGGTCGATAAAGTTGTTCGTGCAGATCAGAAAATCTGGCAGGCCAAACAGAAATACATTGCACTCCTTGACCAGAAAGACCTGCATCATCGTAATCAATTTGCCCGGACTAAAGGACCATCTAAGCCAGCTGTTCGTGAACTCGTAATTCACCCACAGGCCACAGTGTCTTTGATCACACAAGTCCCGCTGCAGGAGACAAGCTCAACGTCCACTGGGAACGTCACCTGGGAGGTGCATGGCCCTGACCTTAAGAGATTCACCTGTGGCCCAGCTAAAATTGACCAGAGAGATTGCACAATTGTTGCCATACATGATTCGTTCCTTCACTTGATGAGTCCAGCAGACAAATTTGATTGGCCCAGGACAATATGTCTTGTCTCAGGAACAGTTCGCATTCACTCACACTGAATTGTGCCAACATCTCACTTGCTACTGGAAGCAATACTGGCAACGCGAGCCACTCATAGACCAGGACACTGGTGATCAGCTTGCCCAGATGATCATGCGATTACCTCCTGAAGAATTGGTGCCGATCAATGAACTTGACCCCCAGTTATGGGAAGCCACAGTGAAAACATTGCGGTCGCATGCTGCCACGGGTGTTGACGCCATTTCGGCATATGAGTTGAAGATGTTGCCAACGGCATTGATTATGGAACTTGCGGCCATCCTCTGTGCCTACACACAGGGCTTCCCCCGGTGGTATATGGCGGCCAGGGCCATTCCACTCCCAAAATGTTGGGGACAGCTCCGACCTGATGACACCCGGCCAATAACAATCCTTAGTCAGACCTATCGTTTGTGGTCCAAAGTCATTAATGCACAGATCCTGTCCACGTTTGCAAGCCGTTGTCCACCCGATGTCACGGGTTTTCTGCGGCAAAGAGACGCTCGGTCGGCCGCATACCGGGCTCAGTGGCACATCGAGCAGGCTCGCATCAACCAGCTTCCGCTTTCAGGAGTCACATTGGACTTGAAGAAGTGTTTCAACTTGATCGACCGCCAACGGGTGAGTGATATCCTGCAGCGACTTGGCATTCCCGGTCATCTCCTGCATCAATGGCTAGCATCGTTGGCCCATTTCGATCGTTTCTGGGACCTTGCTGGGCTTGTTTCCGATTTGGTGCCTAGCTTCACCGGCCTACCAGAGGGTGATTGCTGGTCAGTGACGGCGATGATTGGAATCGCCTGGATCTGGGCCAATGAACTCCGGCAAGTCATTGCACCCATTGTCCCTGCCATTCGTTTGTCGGTCAGTGCATATGCAGATAATTGGTCGTGGCAATCCAATGACCATCAGATCCATGTGGAGCTTTTTCGTGCCACACACAGGGTGGCTTTGTGCCTAGGACTTGAAATTGACCACTCTAAGACTTGGCAATGGGCGACCTCACAGCAAGGGGTTTCCTTGATGTCCACTGCACTTCAGGCTAACCCGTGGCCCGTTCGTCTCCAATCTGTCATTAAGGCCAAGGATCTAGGCACCCCCATGGTGTATCAGGGCCGAGCCGGAACCAGCATGCTCCCGGACAGGGAGTCCGAAGCAGTGCAACGACTACAGCGCATCGAGTGGTCCTGCCGTTCACTACATGATAAAGTGCATCAGATTCGTGCCAGTGTGTATCCAGTCGCATTCCATGGCTCCGAAGTTGGAGTGATTGCAACCGCACAGTTAGATAATCTTCGCAACCAGGTCGTGCAGGCGGTTTTCCATAAGGTTCCTAGCATGAATTCGGCCATTGCTTTCCAACTCATAGATGAGAACCTGCTTGATCCGGCCCTTTTTGCAATCCTTTTGTCCATCAAGATGGCACAACGGTTTTTGCACCACTGCTCACCAGAGGAACAACAAACTTTTCTCAAGGTGGCAGCCACAGCCAAGGGCACAGCAGGCCACATCTGGGGACCAGCCTCAGCACTGAAGGCCAATTTGCTGAGAATCGGATGGGGCGTTAGCCGTGACGGGTCGATCACATCACCACACCTGATACCGCTTTCGATAATCCATGACTCGTTTGCCAAACTGCAACGCTTTGCCAAAGCCTCATGGGAAGTGGACTTTTTCCTCCACTTCACCCAAAGAAAGAACCTCACGGGATACCCCGACATCTCGCACCGCCTTACAACTAGAGCCCTGAAGAAATTTCCTGGAGCCACCCACGTTCGACTGGTCCGCGAGTTGGCAGGTGGATTCCAGACCAAAGAGCAACAAAGCAAATGGGACACACAGGTCTCAAGCCAGTGTGAGCTATGCCAGTTTGAAGACTCTCGATACCACCGAATTTTCGATTGCCCTGCTACACAATCAGTTCGAGCCCGTTTCGCACCTGTCTGTAACTTTGACCAATGGGTTGAAGCCGAATGGCATGAAACTGCAGGCATCATGATCCCCAGGCTGCAGAGCCTTGCTCAAGCACTTGTCCATAACCTTCCGGAACCTGAAGTGCCCGCTTTTGTACGACAACACGTTCTCCACTCCGGAACCAGAGTAGCATTCTACACAGACGGAAGCTGCCAATGCCCGGAACAGATGCCATTCTCGACAGCGGCATCGGCTTTGATTATGGATTTGTGCCAGTCTGACACTGAGCGAATCTGGCAGGCCAACAATTGGTTGACCACTCGTTCGATGCCACAGTCCCTAGTGAGGATTTGGACTGCGCAGTGCCCTGGAGAACAATCCATTCACAGAGCCGAGCTTCATGCACTGGTTAAGGCATGTGAACAATTGTCACAGGTGGACTTGTACTCCGACTGCCAAAATGCAATTGATGCGGTGTATAAAGCCCAATCAGGCACACTCCAATTGCACCCTGATGTGGACCACCTCGATTTGCTCCGACGCCTGCAACAGGCTCCGGGCTTGCTACAAGTCCGAGTTCGCAAGATTAAAGCTCATCTTTCACCAGAGTTGGTGTCCGACCCTCTGCTCCGCTACCACACGTTAGGTAATCAGTTAGCCAATGATTGGGCCCAGCGGCGCAGCTTGGATCAGAATGATCCGGTGAATGCAGAACTCCTGCTGCAAATGCGTGACATTCGCCAACAACGTTTGGACCTGGACGCTTTCCTCCAATATGTCGCTGCTCTTCAGTTGGAACGCCAGACACAGCTTGATCTGCTGAAATTGACAGGAGATGAACCCATCCCCTCCCGGTGCCGAGAACAAGGATTGAGTTAGCTTCCGACGCATGGGAAGGATGCAGTTGGGGACGCGATATAGCATGTCACGTCTGGAGGTGGATTTGCAAGCTGCAATGGCCTGCCCACATCGCTGCAGATGACAACGACGGAGTTGGGGTCACCTGGCTAGAGCTGTTTGTTTCCTTCTGCCTCGACCAAAAGATCTTGATCGGGGTGATTCGACAAGCGCAAAAGGAGAAAGAACTCCTGCCAGTGTCCAGTTGGCACGATGTCATCCAGTACCAGATTTTTGTTGAGACCTTTTGTCAAAGTTTTGCCACCTTGGTCCAACAGGTTGCTCAACTCTCCAACCCCCATGGTTGGCCGACGGTTCCCAAAGGCATGGTCAAAAGCCTGTACATGCTTGGCGCACGGCAATGGCACCATGGACTCAGGGTCCGGCCGGTCTTTCCGGCTCAGACAGAGACGATCTGCCTTGTTCGTTCATGGATCTCCACAGGCCATGCGACTTCCCATTTAAAATGGGTGCCAGGTCGCTTCTTTGAGCCGCTCCGCAACCAGCATGCAGCTCCACGCCCGTGGAGCCAGCTCGCCAAGAGCTTTCGAGCACGCCTTCGTAGATTCCGTGCTGAGTGTCCCCAATGAGGGCAATCGCTAGGCAGTTGCCCGGCCAATGCGCCCAGGCTGCTGACCCCTCTAACCAGCGGAAAAGGTGTGTTTTTTTCTTGGCATCATTCTACACACATTCATGTTCTCGCAACAACAACAATTGTGTTGCTTCTTTTACCAAAGGGACGTGAGCAAAGGTTCACAAATTGTGTGGTTTGTCCATCACAAATCAAATGGTATCCACTTATATCCAGGGTATCAAATGTGTTTCTGGCGTCCGTGTGTTTCAGTATGACGTTCTGTATAGACCTGTTCTGTTTCCCATGAAGACGTGGAACACACCCAACCCCCGGCCGCCCCGGCCCCCAACCCCCAGCAGCTAAGGCGTCCGGCCGGCACGGCCACATCCACAAAGCGATCAACGTGTTGCACTTGTGGCCTTGGATGCTCGACTATGCCCGACATGGTGAACCAATGGCATAACAACACAGAACCACCACCACCAACAGCAACAACAACAACAACAACAAGGTACACCCCAAAACTAGGGCCATGCAAGAAACATGTTGCCTTTGTCTTTGGAGAATGAACAAGAACTGGAGCCCTGCTGTGCGGCCTCAACCCCACGTGCCATCACAGATCATCACAAACACTCGCAATCGCTTACAAGTATGACAGCATGACCCAAAATTCCAGTGTATAAGGCCTACTAGTGGTAGCAAGCGGGCAGTGGTGGTAGTACTAGTACTAGTTGTGGCAATGGTGGTAGTAGTCGTAGTTGGGGGTAGTGGCGTGAGAAGCAGTAGCAAAGTAGCACTAAGGTACTAAGGAGCAATATATAATATAGCAGTGGTAGCAGTGCAGTCGTACCGGTACTGGTAGTTGCAGTCGTCACTACACCCAGCAGGCTCTACCCTGGGGAGTGTCCTCTCGTTCATCTCAGCTTCACAGTTGGTAGTTTGGGATGTTTGGGAACCACCCCAAAAACACCATGGGCTTGGTGGGAGAGCTTTGGGTGTTGGCGATGTGAAACACTCGCCAGAGTACCCTTCTTCAAGGAAATTCCATCATGTTCAAAGGTTGCATTGACCAGATCCAAAAGGACAAGAAACTGAACCCCAAGCTGAAATCACAGGCAAAGCAGGTATCTACAGTACCAAATTTGAACTTATAACTTGGGTGAGCAGTGATCAAGCTTCTTCGTCGGAGCTGCAAGATTGCGTTGTGATACCCGGACGCACCAAAAACACAAATTTGTCAGACCAACCCAAACCAAGGTGAAACAACTCCACCCATCGGCGATACAAACAAATTGGTGACCATCATTTGGGCATCCAATTTTTGTCACCACCACCACCAACAACCAACCAACCAACCAACCAACCAACCAACCAATGTGCGATCAACAACCAACAACACCTGCCAACCTCCTCAGCTCATTGCCATGTGAATTCATCTAAAATCCCGACTTGTGCAAATCACTGGACGCCCCGGCACATGGATCTGCCGAGACTGCTTCGTGGCGGTTGGCACCAGTCGGTGGCGTTGCACTGGCACTGGCACCTGGGGCCACCCACCGCGCAAACACTGCGGACACCGCGCAGCCAGCTGCGGAACGGGCGGTCATAACCAGGTGGACCAGGCTGCTGAGTTCTGCATGGAACTATGTGCCAAGTTGTCAGGGTCCAATTTAGTCTTTGGGAGTGCACAGATGTTCACTTTGGGGGTATCCCCTCTACTAAATCACCTACGGATCCGGACGAGGGTCACAGCACATAGGGTTTAATCCCCAGTCGCCTGTTATAAAGGGTTCGACCGCGAAGAGGTCGGGTCCAAAGATGCTTAGGGATGGAATTAGGTACAGTACCAAGTTTGAGTTGTAACAGGGTTAGAAGTGAACAAATGGCCCAGGTGGTGGCCCAGTTTAATCATTAAAAGTTGCAACTGAGCCCTACATATCTGATATCAACAGTAACATTTATTTTTCTGCTTCTCCATCCCAAACGTCCCCAAATCCAAGAAACTCGTGAAACCGTCCCACGTGTTCTCAATTCTGGGCATGTGGACGCATGACCTAGCTCCTGCCGGGCTGCTACTGCTACAACTCAAGAATAATTCAGAATATGTTTGCGATGTTATTTATTAATACGTGGGCAGCTGGTTCAAAAACAAGATGGAACCCACGAACCCGAATGCAAACACGTTGAAATAGCTTCATATGTCCAAATGACACTCTTGTAGGACACTCTTGTGGGACACTCTTGTGGGTCACTCTTGTAGGAAACTA